GTTTTTCATCAGATGCGGCATTAAAGTTTTGGATTAGACCCGTTACGAAACCTAACCAGAATAACATAAGTTGATTTATTCTTGTTTTTCACTTGCAAATACACTTGACCCGATCAATTCTTGTGCATTTTACGGTAAAACAATTATATAAATATCGTTCTATACCAATTCAAGTAATAAAATATTAATACCGTCATTAAAATTGCCTATTTAACTGTAAAACATCAATTTTCGCCGACTACAGTCGGCCATGACATTCAAGTGCCACGCGAGACCTCGCATGACGTCATTCGCGGGAACAGATTTGAATAGAGTTGTGTACTATTTTTAGAACATTTTGTTGACATGATTTCGATATTTTTATTCAAGATAATGTTTATTTATTTTCATAAATTTTTTAGTATTTAAATATGATTTTATTGAATATAACAGTCAGTAAATAACCTTTTTCAACATCTTAAAAAAAAGTAATCTATAAAAATATTGGAGGCACATGGGTTCATAAAGGTCAATCTCGTAATCACGTGGTCAAACATTTTGGCAATATGGCGGCCAAGTGCCGAAATTTTTACCTGTCGGAAACTATTAGGTAGTTTATGTTCCTAATAAGATTTTTATTTGTCCATCCTTGGCTTATCAACAGATTATATATCGTTTTATCAAGGTATGCCTCACTTTACTTCGTGGCATGTTCGATAAATAAATACGAGCGTGTCAGATTCCTGGCACGATTATTGGTGGACTTTCCCTACGGGGTTATCTTCAGCGTTCACGTCATGTCATATATATAAACGGGTACGCTGAAGACCTTAAGCTACCGTGTTCATAAAGATAAACAAAAAAGAATTACCTTTGAATAATAAAATTGTACTGTCACGACTGAAAATAGTGTTTAAATCCTTTTTATAATTAAATTCCTAACACAACACCAATACATCATGTACACTGCCGATAAACGTACGTCATTCGATAATCTGATTGGCTGCCAGTATTTGAGCGGTTACACTTGACAAAAGAAATATTTTTAAACGAATTTTGTTATGATCGTAACCTTTACGTCTATGCATGGGAAAAAATATATATGATAAGTACTTAGATTAAAGGTAATTACTAGTATTATGATAACGTAACGTTATATACAGAAAAGAGAATTTATTTATTGTATTATAGACTGATATAAACAATAATAACATATCGACAATGCATGTACTGTATATACAACTTATACGTGGATTTTATTGACTTTGGAGTCTGTGATGGTAACATATTTTGGAGAGTATTTAAATGAAATATTTATATGAATAGATAGATAGGCCTTTGATAATTGGAATATGGTGCCGTTAAATTCATTGTACATGCATCATAATTTATTCAGCGTAGCTTTGATCTGACATTGAAAATAACTGTATGTAATTCAGTTATGAAAATAAAAAAATAATTATGAACTGAAATTGGATTGGATCGATAAATAAACTTGAATATATGTATTTATATGCGCAAAAGACTTTAAAGTCAAGATACGATATAGAGGCAAGTCATCGTGGATCAGGTTCTGGCTGCCGATTGTTCATGTATATATATACCGCGGTAAAAGAAGCTATAAATAGCTCGCCGCTATGGTAATAAAAGTGATGACGTCACAATAAAGTTAAAAATAACTTAAATATATAAGGAGAAAAGCAACGGCCGCTGGTGTAGTGGTTAGCATACTGGACCGGCAATCCAGAGACCCGTGGTTCGAGTCCCGGCTGCGGCGTGCCGATTTTTTCGTGCGATTTTTATATATATATATATATATATATATATATATATATATATAGATATATATATATATATATATATATATATATATATATATATTATTAAAAATATTGTCATACACAAGGGTGGGAAGATTGTTTGATTGTGAAAAAATGCAGTACTTGCCTCTTAATTATTTTCAAGATCCAATTCTTGTTTTCCTTTGGAATGTTCTTGGGAAGCAGCATGATATAGGAAGCCCCAACGCACATTAGTAGAATTTATAACACTCCATGTTAAATCATTTTATATTCATTGATCACGTAACTTTGATTTCCACAAATATTTTTTTTTACACAAAGTTGTTCACAAACATTTTTTTTGACACACAGTTGCAATGAAACATGTATTCAAGACTTATTCCGTTCACATATTTAAAAATAAATTGTTTTCACCTGTTGGTAAATAATTGTTACATATTCTCCTGTATAACTTGACTACGTATACCCTTCGTGTATTAGTCATCTGGTTCTCGTTTTCATTCCAACCCCAAAACAAGAAGAAATATTCCTTTGTCTACGAACAGTAGTCACAATGCAATAATCTTATATTATCCTGCTACATGAGGCGTGTAAGCGAGACTATTCTCATTCACTCCCGCCCAAAAACAATACATTTTGTCTTGCCGGTCAACAGTTTCGAGATATGTGTTCATTCACATTTCTCCCCACGAAAATGTCTCCTTGTTAGCATACAGTTGTAAAGGCGCAATAATTCAACTTATTATTCTCCTGAATAATATTGATTCTCGTTCATATTTCTCAAAAAATAAATAAATAAAAAATCGGCGAACAGTTTGACAGTGCCCAATAATCAAGCATTCTCATTCACATCACTCAAAATGTCCTTTTGTCAGCAAAAATGTGTAGCTGTGCAATAATTTTACATACATAGACTGCCGTCACGTGCGTTGCGTACATGATATGTGAGCGAGACTATTATCAATCACATCACCCAAAAAAGAAATGCTCCCTTGTTGGCAAATAGTTGTAGCTGAGCGATAATTTTACTTTCTTCGATCTGTATATGTTGGTCTCAGTTTTGTGTCTTGTATGTGAGCGAGACTATTCTCATTCACATCACCAAAAAAGAAATGTTCTATTGTCGTCAAATAGTTGTAGCTGTGCAATAATTTAACATTTATAGACTGTCGTCACGCGCGTTGCATACATAGCATATTAATAATATGTGAGGTAAATAATATGGGAGACTATTCTCATTCACGTCACCAAAGAAAAGGAAATGTTCCCTTTATAGGCAAATAGTTGTAGCTGTGCAATAATTTAACATCGTAGGTTGCGGTCAAGTGCGTTGCATACATGGCATATTATTCATATGTGAGCGAGACTATTCTCATTCACGTCATATAAAAAAGAGAAATGTTCCCTTTCTAGGCAAATAGTTGTAGCTGTGCAATAATTTAACATCGTCGGCTGCAGTCAAGTGCGTTGCATACATGGCATATTATTCATATGTGAGCGAGACTATTCTCATTCACGTCAATTAAAAAAGAGAAATGTTCTCTTTCTAGGCAAATAGTTGTAGCTGTGCAATAAGTTAACATCGTAGGTTGCGGTCAAGTGCGTTGCATACATGGCATATTATTCATATGTGAGCGAGACTATTCTCATTCACGTCATATAAAAAAGAGAAATGTTCCCTTTCTAGGCAAATAGTTGTAGCTGTGCAATAATTTAACATCGTCGGCTGCAGTCAAGTGCGTTGCATACATGGCATATTATTCATATGTGAGCGAGACTATTCTCATTCACGTCAATTAAAAAAGAGAAATGTTCTCTTTCTAGGCAAATAGTTGTAGCTGTGCAATAAGTTAAATCGTAGGTTGCGGTCAAGTGCGTTGCATACATGGCATATTATTCATATGTGAGCAAGACTATTCTCATTCACGTCATCTAAACAAGAGAAATGTTCCTTTTATAGGCAAATAGTTGTAGCTGTGCAATAAGTTAACATCGTAGGTTGCGGTCAAGTGCGTTGCATACATGGCATATAATTCATATGTGAGCGAGACTATTCTCATTCACGTCATCTAAAAAAGAGAAATGTTCCCTTTCTAGGCGAATAGTTGTAGCTGTGCAATAATTTAACATCGTGCAAAGTATACATGGCATATAATTCATATGTGAGCGTATTCTCATTCACTCATCTAAAAAGAGAAATGTTCCCTTATAGGCAAATAGTTGTTGCTGTGCAATAATTTAACATCGTAGGTTGCGGTCAAGTGCGTTGCATACATGGCATATAATTCATATGTGAGCGAGACTATTCTCATTCACGTCATCTAAAAAAGAGAAATGTTCCCTTTATAGGCAAAAAGTTGTTGCTGTGCAATAATTTAACATCGTAGGTTGCGGTCAAGTGCGTTGCATACATGGCATATAATTCATATGTGAGCGAGACTATTCTCATTCACGTCATCTAAAAAAGAGAAATGTTCCCTTTATAAGCAAATAGTTGTTGCTGTGCAATAATTTAACATCGTAGGTTGCGGTCAAGTGCGTTGCATACATGGCGTATAATTCATATGTGAGCGAGACTATTCTCATTCACGTCATCTAAAAAAGAGAAATGTTCCCTTTATAGGCAAAAAGTTGTTGCTGTGCAATAATTTAACATCGTAGGTTGCGGTCAAGTGCGTTGCATACATGGCATATAATTCATATGTGAGCGAGACTATTCTCATTCACGTCATCTAAAAAAGAGAATTGTTCCCTTTATAAGCAAATAGTTGTTGCTGTGCAATAATTTAACATCGTAGGTTGCGGTCAAGTGCGTTGCATACATGGCGTATAATTCATATGTGAGCGAGACTATTCTCATTCACGTCATCTAAAAAAGAGAAATGTTCCCTTTATAAGCAAATAGTTGTTGCTGTGCAATAATTTAACATCGTAGGTTGCGGTCAAGTGCGTTGCATACATGGCATATAATTCATATGTGAGCGAGACTATTCTCATTCACGTCATCTAAAAAAGAGAAATGTTCCCTTTCTAGGCAAATGGTTGTAGCTATGCAATAATTTAACATCGTAGGTTGCGGTCAAGTGCGTTGCGACAGCTTCCATTTAAGAACGTAAAAGTTCTGTCAAATTTCCGTCAATTTTATGAAATGTGATTTTTGGGGTTAAATTAGCTCACCTGAAAAGTACATGCATTTATTTGAATAAAGTACATCAATAAAATCAATAAAAATCAATTTCCTGATCTAATTTTATATTGAAATGAACAAAATAACTAAAAATTAAATTTGAAATCATCATCTTTTTGACGGACGGAACTCCCAGCTTCTTCACCAGGTCGGATATATACTCGCATTTTCGAATAATATTGGAAGTTTTATTTCAACAAAGACAATTTATTGTTGGGGTATGTATTGCCTTGCATTCTATTTGATTAGTTTATGTGTTTTTCAATTATTTTGCAAAATAAAGGAATTAGAATAATGTAGATGATGAACAATGAACGTCTGTCAAAAAAGCAACGTTCGCAAAAAACTGTCCATCGACTCGGTTATTGTGTGATTATGTATTGGGTGGGGATTCAAAGTTAGTGTTAAACTTGGTACTTTCTGGTTTTACAGGTGGTTTCTTAAGTTTTGAAGCCATAACCAGAAATTTTATTGAAAAAAGGTTGCGATCATAATTTCTGTCAATTTTAGTGAATGACGTTCGCACATTTGTTCCTCAGTTTTATAGCTGTTACTTCCCTTTTTTGCATAGTGACAAGAAACTACGATTAAATCCGTAAGTATCCGAATGCAAAAACATGGCCAAATTGAGACGCTCGATTACATGATCCAAATTATTTTGAGTAAGTTTGTGTCTGTCAAGTGTTTTAAATGTTGACGATAGCAACAATAAGTACATATAGATATTTGTATATATTTTAAAGAAGAGAAAACATATTAAAGTCGAGTTGTATGCAGGAAATAGACGAATACATGGACGTCTACTACTTCCAATGACTGTTTACGCTTAAAGCTGTTGCGAATGTCATTTTTTGACGGACATTCTTGTTGCATACGTCATTTATTGACATACACAATTGTTGCTATCGTCATTCTTTGACGGCTGTTAATGATGCGATCGTCATATTTTGACAACCGTCAATGTTTTGACATAATAAATCTACATGTAAACATTGTAGTGTCAGTAATACCAGGGAGTGAGAGATGGATTGAGTTGAAATACAGTCCATTCGGCCCCAAGTCAGATCGGCCCCAAGTCAGATCGGCCCCAAGTCAAATCGGCCCCAAGCGAAATCGGCATCAAGTCAGATCAGCCCCATTTTTTTTTTCTTTGTTCATTTTCTTATTTAAATGTTGTTAAAAAAATTGTGTGGATTGGAATATCAAATGACTAACAATAGATTACATTGAAAACCAGAACAAAAGATAATAATCAATATAATTTATTGTCTGAGTATAACATTTATCTTCACTGTACTAAACTATTTATTGTCTATAAACATATGAACAGTATGTAAATGTCACTTTTCATGTTATTGTCACTTCTCAAGCAAAGGTTAACTATGAATAACTTGCCTTATTAGCTCCACTATTCGATAAGAATAAGTAGAGCTATTGTAGTACCCCGAGCGTCGGCATAACCACTTATGTTAAAGTTTTTGTAATAGTTCAAATATTTTCAAAGTCCATTGACATATGGCTTTGAAACTTTGCACACTTGTTCACCATCATGACCCCAACCTGTAGACAGGAGGAGGTAACTCTATCAAGCATTTTGACAGAATTATGCCCCTTTTTGGACTTAGAATTTACGTTAAAGTTTTTGTAATAGTTCAAATATTTTCAAAGTCCATTGACATATGGCTTTGAAACTTTGCACACATGTTCACCATCATAACCCCAACCTGTAGACAGGAAGAGGTAACTCTATCAAGTATTTTGACAGAATTATGCCCCTTGTTGGACTTAGAATTTACGTTAAAGTTTTTGTAATAGTTCAAATATTTTCAAAGTCAATTGACATATGGCTTTGAAGCTTTGCACACTTGTTCACCATCATGACCCCAACCTGTAGACAAGAGGAGGTAACTCTATCAAGCATTTTGACAGAATTATGCCCCTTTTTGGACTTAGAATTTACGTTAAAGTTTTTGTAATAGTTCAAATATTTTCAAAAGCCATTGACATATTGCTTTGAAACTTTGCACACTTGTTCACCATCATGACCCCAACCTGTAAACAGGAGGAGGTAACTATATCAAGCATTTTTTTTTACTATCAAGCACTAAGAAAAGTCAAGCGTTGCTGTCCTACCGACAGCTCTTGTTACAAATAAATGCTTTCTGTTTTCTCATTTATATGTCTTTAAAAGTTATGTTTCTACAAGTTTGCAGAAAGGTAGACTTGTGGCGATGATTTGGCGGACAGTTTGATTGAAGACATTGGTATACCTGCTTCCAAGCAAAGGTAAATTATGAATAACTTGCCTCATTACAAATTAATGCTATTTTCTCATTTATGCTTTTAAAAGTTATGTTTCTACAAGTTTGCAGAAAGGTATACCTAAAAATTCCCAATAATGATATATGTAGGAATACTTAAGATTTACTTAATATGTAAAAATCTTGTTTGTTTGCAGTGACTCGAAGCATTTGAAGACTTGTGGCGATGATTTGGCGGACAGTTTGATTGAAGACATTGGTATACCTGCTTCCAAGCAAAGGTAAACTATGAATAGTAAATGAAACAATTTCTTTTTGTATACCCACCCTATAAAATGCAGGGCATGATGGCGCGGTGGTAAGTGCACTTGTTTTTTCATTTTGAGAGTTGTAGCTTTGATTCTCGGTCAGGCCATTTCTCTCTGACCAATTGATAAAAGTCCTTGTGTCTTAAGTCTTTCGTCTCACACCTCTGTTTCAAGTGAGGCAGAAAAAGAGGTAATATGTCTAAAATGATATGGAGAGTGTGTGCACAAGTTAATTTTTGAATCAGTTTTTAGCTCGACTATTCGAAGAATATGAGAGCTATTGTAGTCGCCCCGGCGTCGGCGTCCGCGTCGGCGTCTGCGTTGGTTAAAGTTTTTTGTAAAGTCAAATATCTCAATTATTACTTGAGATATTCAATTGAAACTTACGATACTTATTTATAGTAACAAGGTACATCAGATTGACAAGTTGGATAACTCTGCCTACAATATTGACAGAATTATGCCCCTTTTTAACTTAGAAATTTTGGTTAAAGTTTTTTGTAAAGTCAAATATCTCAATTATTGCTTGAGATATTCAATTGAAACTTACAATACTTATTTATAGTAACAAGGTACATCAGATTGACAAGTTGGATAACTCTGCCTACAATATTGACAGAATAATGCCCCTTTTTAAACTTAGAAATTTTGGTTAAAGTTTTTTGTAAAGTCAAATATCTCAATTATTGCTTGAGATATTCAATTGAAACTTACAATACTTATTTATAGTAACAATGTACATCAGATTGACAAGTTGGATAACTCTGCCTACCATATTGACAGAATTATGCCCCCTTTGGAACTTAGAAATTTTGGTTAAAGTTTTTTTGTAAAGTCAAATATCTCAATTATTGCTTGAGATATTCAATTGAAATTTAAAATACTTATTTATAGTAACAATGTACATCAGTTTGCAAAATTGCATAACTCTGTCTGCAATGTTTGCAGAATTATTAGCCCCTTTGAAACTTAGAAATTTTGGTTAAAGGTTAACGGTCTTCAAAGATATTTACTTGAAACTTTACACATGCACTTAGGGTCATAATTGGAGGGTCATAATTGTTGTCACTGACCTAGTTCCATAACTCTATCTTGCATTAAGGCTGATTCATATCCCCTTTTCTACTTTAAAATCTCTTGGTTAATGTTTACATGCAAGTTTTACATATCTCAATAACTATTAAAGATATTTATCTAAAACTTCACATATGCATTTAGGGTCATAATTGTAGGTCACTGACAAAGATCCATAATGCTATCTTGCATTTAGGCTGATTTTTCTCCCCTTTTTCAACTTAGAAATTCATGGTAAAGTTTTGCTTGTAAGCTGTTATCTCAATAACTACTAAAGGGTTTGCGCCTTTTTTGGGACAATTTTATGCATTCATAATAATAAAGCAGTGATTTACTTGATAAAACATCTTAATAACAAGCCTTTGTACCTTTTCTGTCAAATTTATGTATTCATAGGTAATTAGTATTATTATACTCAATAAAAAAAACCTTGTGACATTACCTTCCGAATAGTCAAGCCAATTCTGTATAATTAGACTCTCTGTAAGGCCTATAACATGAATTTATAAAAAAAATTAGCCCTTTTGTGAACTTAAAAAAATTTAACAATATCAAGGCTCTTTTACTATCAAGCACTTAGAATAGTCGAGCATGCTGTCCTACAGACAGCTCTTGTTAAAGGCATGGTTATCAGTTTTTAAAGGTCTACCTTTCAACAACTTTTCATGCAGGTACCCTTTAGGCACTAACCTTCTCATCAGAAATGGATCAGAAAGTTTTAATGCTGTTGTAAGTAGTAATGTTTTAACAGTTTGGTTAAATTCAGTACACAAAAAAAGTCAATGCAAACTAGCAAATTCGTCAGTTGTCTGTCAAAAGGTGCAATCAGTATTTTTTTTCAATTTTTCGGGAAATGGACAAAGATTTATCAGCCTTTATAAGAAGCTTAAGCAATTAGTACTGGCTTTGTTCTTCAATGCATTACTTTTGTTTGGCCTGTATTGTGCTGTTCCATTTTTGTTACTTTGGAAGTTATGTTTTTAAAAAAAAATTGTAACTTGTGTGTTAAAAAGTTGTTTTTTTGTCTTCATCACATTTAATATATGTTAAAACCCAATATAAGGCACTCTTGCTGACAAGATTTGCAGTCAGATATCAATCTCCGGAGTTCATGAGTTTAAGCCTTAGCCATACAACATGAGTTGAATTCCCAGCCATATAACAGTATTTCAAGCCCCAGCCATATAGCATTTATTTAATAAAGATTAATTATTAAATAATTTTTATAATACTGCATGTTTGTAACGTCGCTTTTCATTGGATAATCTTGACGTTTATATAGTGTTTTATACACGTGACACAGCTATTGTTGATTAATAAAGAAATCTTGCTTTATTCCTCTAAAAATGATCCTTGCTAGCGATTTGGGTTATATTTTTTACAAACAGCCATTTATATAGGGCCATATAACCTGTCAAAAATCTTTATAACTAATAATATAGCCTTACTATTCAGGTAGAGCAGTTGTCTGTTCATGTGCAAATATTATTTGTTTATACATGTAGTGTATATGCATTTTTAAGTTTTTTTTTCCGGTTAATATTGTGATGATATGAAGCAACATTTGAACGTCAATCAGAGCTTGACTTCATTACCAGTTGTGAATACTTGGTAAATACATTTGATTGGTTCATTGAGTCCAGTTTGACCTCTTTGATAGATACTGGTAATTGATTAAATGTTATTGGTGCAACAAGTCATTGATTGTACATCATTTTGCAGGTTGTTCAAACCCATGAACTGCACAGAGAGGAGAAAGTCTATGGATTGTGGGTCCAGTTCTATAAGAAAGGAAAGCGACAATTATGGACATTGGAGGAGAAATCTTTCTTTGTTTGTTGTTAAACAACTTGCTGAACCTTTACTGTCTATGCATGGATCTAGATTATACTACAAATTTCAAGTGTTTGGTGTACAGTTACACTTAATAGCCCATCAGAAAGGCCGACATGGTGACTGGTGCTTTTACATCCAATTTGGTGCAGACTGTTTTCATACTTTCTTACAAAAACTGTTAGAAATATAATAGGGCTGGGAACGAATAAGGAATTCGATGTTCGAATATTCGTTTTTCCATATTCGAATATATTCGAATATTCGTTTTTACAACATTTGTTCCAATATTTCTCTTTGACGTATACGTATCCAAAATTGATTGCGTCGAATACTATACTACTTTAAAATGCTTGGAATAATCGGCGATTAAAAAGACCTTTATTGCTATGTCGAAGTTTTTTTAATTTATATATTGTAAATCGAGATATATGTTTACTTTTGAAATAAATTCATAATTTGATTGCCTTTTGTTCAGTAAACCCGACCGCTGTCTTATTAACGGGAGGTAACTCACGTGACTTGACTGACAGTAATATGAATCATCTTAGCCATTTATCCCCAAAGACACATAATGATATTGAAACTTAACTTGTATTAAATATTTTTTATTTACAATTTTAGATAAAGTTTAAAATATTCTTAAGATAAGTTTAGCTATAACGAGGTAAATATCACATGGAGTCTAATGTCTACGGAATAAATATATTCTGACAGAATTTAGACACTTCATATGCTTTCATAACGCGCCGAATAATGGTGCCAATTTATTCTTATTCACAAAATTTAAGACAATTATTGATTAATCGGAAAGATTTTAACACAGAAAACAATAAATAAGATAATTAAAATCGGAAAAATTTACATTATAAACTGTTCAACAGGTAAATTGCAAACTGTGAAACGGGTGCCCTTTTGATCAACTATACCCCAAAGTTTTCAAAGTTAATTGGCGATAATTGTTGACACGCGTCATACAAACATTTGAACACCTGGTGAAAGAAAGGGCAAAGGTTAATTTACGATCTGAATTGAAATTTGAAAGTAATGACAAAAAATGAAACATTTCTCCTTTTTTTTTCGAATATTCGTATTTGTTTTTCAATGTTCGAATATTCGTTAGTGTTTCGAATATTCGAATATAATTCCCGGCCCTAAAATATAATATATCTTTTGAAAAGTTTCAATAGCCATTGACAGATTTTTTTGTAAAATACGTTCTTTAGTGCCTAGAAAAGTTGATGGCCAGTGTTTTGACAGTTAATTTCGGATAATGTCCAAGTAAATTTACATAATTTACTTGTTTGCTCTTTGAAAACTTTTACTTGTTGTCATTTGTTTTCTTGTATCCATTGCGAAAAAGTACTTTAGAAATTGTGAAAGAACATTTGTTCCGTCCAAAAATGATGGTAGCAACAATTTGTTCCGTCCAAAAATGATTCTAGCAACAATTTGTTCCGTCAAAAAATGACGTTTAGCAACATCATCAAAAATGAATAAATCTGTATCTGGCCTGTTCTCTGCAGAGATAGTACTTCCTTTACATACAGTTTTCAATCTTTTATTACTTAGAATAAAATGTTGCTAATTATAATAAAGAGAATGCTTAATTTTTCCAATTTCTGAATGTTGTGAACGTAAAAATATCCGTCAAATATTCTGTCAAATAATGACGTTAGCAACATGAAATTTAAAACATGATTAAAACTCAAAATACATCTGCTATAATTTTTATTTTCATGTTTTTGACCTAATATAATAGCAATCTTATCATATATATTAAAAAAACTGCAATTATTTTATATGTACAAAAAAATATCCTTGGGAGCTATTTTGACGGAAATTTTATGTTCTTAAATGGAAGCTGTCTTGCGTACATTGAATATTATTCATATGTGAGCGAGACTATTCTCATTCACATAACCCAGAAACAATATTATTTTCGCGTCGGCAAACAGTTGTAAATTATTGAAATTAGTTAACATTCTCATGTAAAGGCTGGTTACAATGCGTTTTGTGTATGGGAATGTGAGCGAGACTATTCTCATTCAAAATTTTCACTTACTGATATAATGATCATTCGTCATTCTTATTCGTCCAGAACTACAGACTTCAACTTGTCTAAACGTTTAGATAACTGTATGACTTTAGCAGCAAATGCTTCTGGTTTCCCTGGGTTAATATTTATGTCGTAATCTGGAAAAGCATTATGCTTCCGTCCAGGAACTATTTTGAAAATATTTTCATCAGCCAAAAATTGTATTAACCTTAAAACATTTTCGTCACGATTGACCGCTCTATAACGATGCCTGTAGACTTCCTGTTGAACAATATTGACATCAAAAATGGAGTCTAATGCCTCGCCAAGAGGTCCTATGATTTGGCTGCACCTTTGTATTGTAAGGTCTGTATAACGACCTTTGGCAGACTCCAACAGATCTTTAAAAAGCCTGTTTAAGATTTCATTCATAAAATCCATTGGTAGATTACGGCCAATTCCACCGCTGTAGTTTACAGTGCGGTTGTGAATGATATCATATTTAAGCCTTTCCGTTAACCATCCGTTTGTAGAAGCGATCAGTCTGTGAGCGAGTATAGTATACTTTGGATGTTTATTGCCAAAGAAATGGACCAAGTCATATTTCCAAAAAGACATCATGGCATTTCCATCCGCTTCACGCACTGCATCCCGACGACATAGCATATTTAATCCATACCATAAGCATGCAGTGCTGTATAGATGTTTGTGGTCTTTTCTAGAAACATTTGGACTAACGCGTGTTTTCGACTTAGATCCCGATCTCTTACGTTTTGGCCGACATTGATCACTACAGTACCATTTACCTTTTGGTGGTTTCTCAGGATCAATACCAACACATCGCATATGGTACCAGTCATATTTTAAACATCTTGGATCACCATCACAACCAATCATCGGCTCATCTGTTCCTAGATCTGTTTTGCAATTACAATATTGATAGGGTTGTCTTGGCTGATTTCGGCATTGATCAGAACAATACCATGGATACGTAACATTTTCCGGGTCTATATCAACACAGGAATAATGAAAGTATTCACCCCCAATGCAATTACTGCGACTTTCGCAACCAATCAGATCGTCATCCATTTCTGTTCCACAACATACCACAAAATCTTGGTCGTCAGCATGTTCCTTCAAGGTATCAGTATCAAGATTTTGCCATACTTTTTCAACGATACTGGAACATACGTCGTCGAAGTAAACTTGTTTCACATCATGAGACTGGTCTTCTATCTGTAATGGTGCATCTGCGGGACGGCTACTTGTATCATTAATATCTTTAAGTTCCATGAGCAGTAGGCACACATATCCTTCAACAAGTGTTGACATCAGTTCCCATGCATGTGAAAAATTGTCAGATATGTCGCCTTTAACCTGTCTAAAATTGAATAGATTCTTCAGATGGCATAGTGTGCCTCGATCTGACGCACTACTGCCTTTGTAAAAAGTGTCGTAAAAATCTTGCAGCAGCAACATCTCCTTATGGAACTCTTGCACTCCCGGTTCAAGTCCTTCTAATCGTTCGCACGGATTTAACCCGTTTGCTCGAGCTTTTCGCGCGTCATTCCCACGTTCACAACTAAGTCCATCGCCATAGACAATAGCAGTGACTGGCTTGTCGTCAACTGTGGGTATATACCGCTGAAGTGCTTCATATATGCCAATAGCTCCTTGTGTTGATGATGGGTCTTCATTGAAAACTCCTAAATTTATCAACAAGCTTTTCTGAGTTGACCGCAATGAATGTTCATGGACGATATGGTGTGTTATGTTGTTACTGAAACTTTCCTGAAACCATTTAAAATGACGGACTATCATTCTACCTACGATAATTTTCATTCTATTGTGAAGAACTTGTTCATCCTCAGTGCTTGGTAAAAAAGTAGTCACAGGTATTTCTGAGGCTAAAACAGTTGTATCATCTTGAACTTTATCGATGTCTTTCAGTGATGTCCTATTTAGGGCCATATAGCCTAATGCCATGTTTATGTATTTATTTTTTACATTTTCTGTTGGTCGTCTCGTTATGACCTTCTTCCCAACATTGTCCCAGCACATTGTGAAACCGGGGGGTGCATCGTTTGCTATATTTGTAGGCTGATTTGAAACAAATTCATCTGCCTCCTGAATCTCCATCTCAATTTCTTCCTCATGAAATTCTTCTCCGATGTCTTCATTTTCATCCAACTCCACTACCACTTCTTCTTCATCTTCTTCTTCTTCATCTTCTTCTTCATCTTCTTCTTCTTCTCCTCCTCTTTCTCCTGTACCTTCTATGTCAGTTATATCCTCCACTTCACTCTCCCCTTCTTCACAAGAGCTCAATGAATCTTTTTCATTGTCGTCTGAATACAAGATTGTATCATCAAACGTTAAGTCTTCAATGTTTGGAACACCTTCAGAAAGTGCAAAAGATAGATCTAAGTCTTCACTTGCAACTTCAGCAACTTGCTTCTGTTCCTTCATTGACTTTTCGATATTTTCTTTTAACCTGACTGCAGCTTTGTCGAAATTTTCTCTTATTGCATCTATTGCCTTAAGGGTCCTTTCGTAACCAGCACATAAGCCTAAGTGACTGAATTGTTTGATAGTCTCCCTTTTAAGCCTTCCTCTCCACATTTGAATGGAGAAAATGGTTTGAAGGATGTGGCATTTCTGAGGAGCGCGAGCATGCAATAAAATAGCTAAAGCTGATCCCAATCGCGGTTTGAGGTTCACATTTTTCCCTCTCGTGAGTGTTTCTTTATTTTGCACATTCGTAACTGAGCCAACTAATGAAGAATACAACACAGGGGCATGCTTTTTAGCAGCATTCAAAGTTTTTTCCCATGAAAAATCACCAATACTTTGTAAATCTACTGATTTATTCAAGGAAAATGTATCCGCTGGTAATTCTAGAAGTGTTTTAACTTCCGATCTAACTTTTCTCATAACAACTTCATTAAAATGCCGCTTCGTTCCGGCAGTAGCATTGCATAAATTTGTTATTGCTCGCCTGTATTGCCTTGCTCGGATAGCTGTAATAATGGTTTCCCATTTGGAGGTCGGCTGACCAAAGCTTGTTCTCACAGCCTTACCACGCTGAAATGATGTAAAGGACATTTCGTCTGCGTCGAAAAAAAATGAAGCTAACAAACCAGACATTTCAAATTCAAAATTTGTAAACTGTTTCATTATTCATCCATACTTCACGAATCATTTTTTCTACATATACATTATTCACTTATGTTTTTTAAAAACGCAGAAATAATCATACTAAATATTGCTTTCTTAATGAAATTGAAATAATTAAAAATTAAAAAATTAAAATTTAAAAAAAAAATCCAAGATATAAGTAATAATTTACATGTTTTGTTCGTTTAAAACTGATTTTGTAGTAATTATCATCATATTTCTATTCCGTGACTAACGCAGTAAAGGGCTACTTTTTGTGGTGGCAGCAATGGGATACAAGTACGTGACATACCTTTAATGGCGTACTGGTAAAACGTGGTCTTTTGAAAGGTGTACGTGGAATTTCTATGGATTCGCCAAATGACCCTTTCAACGCGACAGAAGACGTTGATGCCGTTGCTCCGAACAAACTTTCGTCTGTGAATTCCCCAAATGATCTTTTTGTTCCAACATAAGACGTTGATGCAGTTGCTCCGAAAAAAGTCTCATAAGCCCCTTTGTATTTAGCCGTATTGCAAAGTGTACTCCAGCAATCAGGACATAAGAACTTTCCCGTCCGTTTCTTTTGAGGTGTTATTGAAACACCGGCTAGCAATCCTAAATGTTCACTTGCAGGCTTATTTGTATTGGGAATAATAGACTCTATTGAATACCGATAATATCCTTTATTCCCAGGCTTAGATTTGAAATCATGCTCACAGTTTGCACACGACGACATGATAGACGTTATTAAGTTAAATTAGTATGAAAAGTTAACACTTTGCAATGATTATTTTAACACATTACTTATAAATATCCACAATAAAAGTTTTTCTACAAAATCACATTCATAATAATAAGAACAAAACTATTTCTTATAGAAATCAATTAATACACACTAACACAAATTGTGATCATGAGATACGAATAATTCTCTGAAGCGCAGTTCGACTGTCTTTCCTTTCAGAATTATTACCTCTTTAAACAGCTATGCCCGTAAAGGTAGTTACTCGATGTCTTTAAAGTTTGGATGTCATGTCACCTTCGGTACACTATATGCCATATATTGAGATAATATTAAATGAAAAAAAAAGTTTTAATTTCATATTAATCAATATCAGTCATGTTTTGTAATTTGTGCAATTTATCTTTCTGTATTTTATTATTTTTGTCTTCTTTTATTTTTTTTTATTTTTAAATATTTATCTTTTTTTGGGGGGGGGGGGGTGCTCTTCCTAATGTATGAAATAAATTGAAAATGAACATGTTTTTGTTATTTTTTTACGTGAATATCTGTCATCCAAGTGACAAAAATACAATTTAATTTTCTAACGTCTTAGTGTTAAAAATGGCATATCCCGTTAAATATTCATAAATATAGCCGTGCATTTATTTGTGTATGGACGTATACCTTTAATGCATTCTCCCGCGAGTTCTCAGAGCGACCATTTACTGGGTGTGTCATATAATCATATTAAACACAAAATTTGGCTTTGTAGCCATTGGCAACAAGTAAATACACAGGTGGTATGATTTTTAACTGGTCGATACATGCGTAATAATTACTTTAAATATATTAATGATGGATGCTGAAACAGTAATCAAACTTTTTAATGAACGTAAATCAAAGTATAACATACCATATGATCTGAAGAAAGAACAAGCAGATGTGGCGGTTTCCATTGCTAATAAAAGAAACTGCGTGGCTTTTTTGCCAACTGGATATGGAAAGACATTATGCTTTATGGTGAACGCAATAATACATGATATACCATGTTTAACACTGGTTGTTTCTCCGTTACTGTCCTTAATGGATAGTCAAATTAAAAGTTTGAAGGCATGTAACTTTACATGCATAAAGATTGGATCTGATCTTACTGCAGAGGAATCAGACGGTATGATTTTCGGATTAAATTACTGTTTTTTATTTTAAGTTATAATTAATAATGCTTGTAAACTTTTATTCCCCAGTATGACCGGAAGATATCTTATATATATATAACTAGAGTCGCTATCTTAAACTACAGATTATAACCTGTTAAACATCTTAATAACAAATAATGCGTCAAATAAATTTCATTTCAGCATAACATAAGTAAAATTATGTCATAAATTGTCATCAGCCGTTCATATTCTTAGTTATAAAGAAGTTTTGACAGGTTATATGAGTATATATAAACGGTTGTTTGTATATATAACCCGTGCCGCTATGCTAGGGTTATGTTGCAAACAATCGTTTACATACGGTCATATAACCTGTCAGGAATCTTTATAACGAATTTATATAATACATCAAACTTGCTTTGTTTTTGAATACATCAGGTTTTTGTAAATTGAAATAAAACTCTATAAACTTTACGATTATCAAATGAAAAACTACTTAAAAAGCGTGCAGTGTTATAAATAATAGACTATACTTTTACTTAATTCTAATTATAAACATGTTTAATTAATAAGTTATATGGCCATACATAAACTGTTGTTTTCTATATAACTGGAGCCGTAAAGCCATGTATAACCTGTTGATAGGCTATAACGCTGCAGACTATAGAAAAACATGTTAATAAAAACTTACTTAACAAATCGACGGCAGCCGTATATATACATATTTATTATGTTGTAAACAGATAATTAAATTAATGATTTTTACAGGGATTTCGACAGGCGAGTACAGCTTCGTATTTAGTTCACCTGAGTCAGTGTTAAAACAAAAATGGCGAGATATTTTCCTTAATGATATTTGGCAGAGCAGGATTGCACTTATTGTCTTTGACGAAGCCCATTGCATATCGGAATGGGGAGAAGAATTTAGGCCTGAATATCAAGAGATGTCACAGTTGCGCAGTTTTTTCAAAGCACCAGTTCTGTCTCTAACTGCAACTTGTACCCCAAAGATAAAGGAAGAAATAATGACTTCCCTACAGTTAGATGAGTGTAATACTGATATCATATGTAAATCAGCAAACAGGGAAAACATATTCATCATATGTAGAAAGAAATTGACAAGAGAATATGAGGTCGAGTTAGACTGGCTAGTAAACCATTTAAAGGAAAGGGGCAAGAATTCAAAAAAAAGTATTGTTTATTGTCGTTCAATTGACACGGTATCAGAGGTATTTATTACCGTGAAACGCTTGTTAGGAGACCAGGCATATAGTGATGGCATTAAGTGTTCTCAAAACTTATTAGTAGAGATGTACCACAAGTGCACTCATGAAACGTCAAAAAATAGAATTTTAACTGATTTCTCTTCAAATTTAAGCACTATTAGATGTTTGTTTGCCACAGTCGCTCTTGGAATGGGTATAGATATTCCAGATGTGGACATAGTAGTCCATATCGGATGTCCTAAATCAGTTATTTCCTACTGGCAAGAAGCTGGCAGATGTGCACGAGATGGTCGACAAGGTTTAAGTTACATAATGTACGATAACTTTACAGCATCTTTGAAGAACACTGATAAATCTATGGCTTCTATGGTCAGAAGTAGTGAAACGGACTGCATTCGAAAACAAGTGCTTTCAACGTTTTCCATTTCAGAAGCACACAGCTATATAAGCACTGTATGTGAAGGATGTGATTTTAAGTATTGTAACTGCCAGGCTTGTAGGTGCTGTGAAATTTGTGCCCAGCGATGTCCTTGTTCTAAAAGATCTATTCTCGATTTGGATACTTTTTTATCAAATGTCGATTTTAATGCACGGTTGACTTCCGAAAAAAATTGAGATTCAAAGGAAACCCATAGTAAAATCGTTAGTATATGGGACCCTGGACATACATGTTCATATTATATTCCAGACATATTCCAATGAGCTTTTTATTCTAAAAGTTTCTGACTATTTTATAATTTTAGCGTATTCTTTCTTTTTTGTGTATTTTTTTGTGTTTTCTCCCATTTTTGCAAACCTATAGTAACATAAAATATCAGTAATGTTACGATGTATGATTAACAATAAACAAAATTTAAGTGCACATATTTATATTTATTTTTAGAAATGACAATTTACAGACAAGCTCTGTGGCTTTTCAAAGACATACTTAACAACTTGTTTTGAAATTTACTCCCTGAAATGAAACATGTATAAAGTGTACGTATTTATGGTTTTTTATTCATAACATTATACAGAAAAATCACATCACTTTATCATGTTAGACATGTAACTTTATATGTTCACATTTTTTCTAGTCACTCACTCTCTTGAAAACGATCGATAACAAGTGTTTTTATTCTTAACAGCCACAGTTTTGATAAATCACGTCCAGGGTGGATTCCATCAACATATAAATTGCTAAAATTATAATTGTACTTTGTTACATAACCAGTCCTTCGTTTAACTTTAGAACACTTTTCTAAATCCAGTGAAAACTTTGGTGAGTAA